TCAAGTAAATGACTAGTGTGTACATCGACGGATTTTTCAATATGGGCGTTGAAATCACCTACCATTATTGAAAATTTAGAAATAGCCGACAGTTGTTCTAGAATCGATGTCAGTTTATCAAAAAATAATGGTGTGATAGGACTCGAACCAGGGCGATACGTTAGATATTGCTTTTCGTCATGTGCCCTGAGGTATTTACCAATGCTTTTATTGTGCTGCGTTTATATTTTCCAGTGACTCACATATTCCATTTAAGCATATCCCATTGATTTTTTCTTTCACCGTAGTTCTAAAGCAGTTTTCATCGGCAGTGATTAGCGCATCCAAAAATAGCAAAGTTTTGCTGTTTTCATATTCTATAGTAAATTTTATTTTAGATTTATTAAACGTAAAAAGAAAGATTTTTAATTTGGTCATGGTTGTCTTACGCAACAGAGATATTGTTGACGTATGTTGCAGAGATTTGGAGTTTTAGTTCTGGGTTTTTGAGGAATGTTCGTTTTTCTATGTTGCCAACGTAGAAATTTTCAAAGAGTGTTTCGAGTCCGAAGCCCAGGGCAATTCCATCTATTTGTTTGTACATTTTCCCCATAGAGCTATAGAATGGCGCTTCAGTTGTTCATATTGTCGATAATGATTTAAATAAGGGTTTTGGAATTTCAAAAGATTCATGTGGCAGTTGTATACTGGATTAAGGATGATATCAATTGTGTCAAAAACGAGTAAAATTGTAATAAAAATACTTCGCCAAGTGAGGCTATATGACTGATAGAATTGTTATTGCTAATTATATTGATGAGTTCTCTAGATTGTTGTAGATTGTAGTCATTTGGAGCGTATGGTGACAATATTTTATTCAGATATTTTGAGGATAGGGTAAGTTAAAGTTGTAATCTGGCTGATAATTGTGTGGAAGAGATTGTTCTCTTTGTGGGTTTTAATTTTAATTTAGTTTTTATATTGCTATATTTGTTATTCATATTGTCACCATGTTATATTTATTAATTCGTATAATCAATATTGTACTGATAATAATGTTATATAGATAAATATTCTACAATGTTGTGTTAACGCTCGAAACTTTTGCTATACAAGATGCGTTGTGCTTACAAAGTGGTTTGCTTCTTGCGAAAGCAATTTATAAAACATTAAAAGGACACATGACCTTAATACAATTTTACTACTTAGAATTAAAAAAACTAATTATTTCCAAACGAATTTCAAAATTATTTAATTTTAATTAGCCATTTATTTTTTTCAAGAAACTCTTCAAGAAACAATGACACTTCATAAATAAAAACGCATTATAAATTCTTCGGTGTTAAGGGGTAATGTATGTTTTATTAAACTGCTCGTCTAGTTGCTCGTGTCTCTTTCTTTTCTCATATATTTCCATATTTTGTTCTCTTGCACTGGCTACCTATAAAACATAGAATATTTTTTAAAATTTGCACATTTATGTATGAGTCTCAATCTAAATTATTTCCCTTCTTATCAGATATATTAATTGAACCTAAACGCACCGGTTTACGAGCGTCTTGTTCTCACTTCTTTTTAACACGTGTTAAACACTTTTTTGCTAAATCTGCATTTACTTTTTTGGCCCTTTTCTCTGGAACTCTCTATCTCTTTTTCTGACGACTTCTCCATCACTTACGAAGTTCAGAGTGGATCTCAAGACTTATAGCGCTTTATAAACTAATTGATTGATTATCGGAATCCATCATTGATTCACCACACCTTGTGTATATCATTATGGTGGCTACGTATATTTTCAGATTCCTAAGCGCTTTTGATTTATGTATTGAATTGTTTCACAAAGAATCACGTAACTTTTCAAAACTAATGTGGTGAGCTTTGGAATACTTACGATATCTATAAATGGTAGCAATTTTTATTGCTTTTGTCTAGTTTCTAGTGGTTTTAATCCAGTTGTAAGTTTTTTTTATCTTTTTATTTGTTTCAGATTTTGTAGAACATTTGATTGATAATCGAACTAAATCACAACTCAGTTGAAATTGTGAATCTAATAAATGCCAGTTTCCTAGATGTGTTTGTACAAAATTCCGTCTTTTAATGTAAATGAAAGCAATTTTGTACAATTTATAGACATGATGCCAGATGATATCAGTTATAAGATTGTTTTAAATAAACTTAGACAGCTCAATGAGAGCTTGTGGTGTTGATAAACTGCTTCCAGTATTGTTAAAAAAAGTGTGCAGAGGCGTTTGCTGTTTTAATTGCTTTGATATTCCAGGCCTTTTTGGCTACCAGTCAACTTCAGTTCAGATCGGCAAACGTTTCACCAATCTACAAAAAAAGGCGACAAAACTGTAGCAACAAATTATAGCCCGGTTTTTTAACATCAGTTCCCTGTAAAATAAGGGAAAGTATAATTCTAAAAAGTGTAGAAGATCATCTTTTAAGAATAACATAATAGTAAAACAACAACATGGTTTAGTTAAGGGCAAATCATGCACAACAAATCTATTTGAATCTCTTGATTTTATTTTCTATAATTTAGATAATTCTATTCCAGTGGATGTAGTCCTGCTTGATTATGCCGATGCATTTGATACTGTTCCACACAAAAAATTATTAGCTAAATTAAATGCATATGGAATAAATGGATTGTTATATAAATGGAATTTTTAAAAACAGAAGACAAAAAATTATTTAAGGTGAAACTATTTCTGACTGGGCTGAAATTTTTAGTGGTGTTCCTCAGGGCCTATTGGTCCTCTACTTTTCATTCTCTACATCAATGACTTACCAACTAAACTGAAAAATACAACAAAACACTTTGCAGGTGATACCAAAATCATGAGAGCAATATCGTCAAATAACGATGTTGTCGAACTTCAATCTGATTTGAATGAGGCATTTAAGTGGACGCAAGATTGGCTTCTACGGTTCAGTATAGAAAAATTACTGTAATACACTACAGATCAGGTAATAAAAAATGTCCACTGTAAATAAATAGAATACTTCTTGCTGAATTTGAATCCGAGAGAGATCTTGGAGTGATTTTTTCAAATAACTTAAAATAGAAAAATCAAGTCATCACAGCATCAAACAAACCAAATGCTTGGTCGAATAAAAAAAATCTTGGAAATTTTATTATAATTTGCTTCGTAATTTATACCTAACTTTTATTCGTCCACTGTTGGAGTTTGCAGTATCAGTTTGGTCCCCAGATCTAAAGGGTGATAGCAAAGTAATCGAAAGAGTCCAGCACAGAGCAACAAAGTTGGTTCCATTTATAAGAAACCTAGCTTACAAAGATCGTCTTAAAAAAGTAGCATTAACAACCTTGGTGGAAAGATGAAAAAGAGAAGATTTGATTCAGTTGTTTAAAACCATGCATAATTTGGACAAAGTTGATTTAAATAATCGTTTTAGCGTAGTCAAAACCAAAACGCAAGGTCACAGTTTGAAATATTTTAAAGAGTTAACAAGACATAGAGACAGAGAGAATTGCTTATTCAATAGAGTCGCAAATACTTGGAACTCATTACCAAATGAACATGTTGAGGCACAATCAATGAAAAAATTTAAAGCAGGCATTGATTGTTGAATGAACAACAATCAATCAACGAATCAGCTGTGCTAGCATGCCTGACAGCATGCTCTCTGGATAACCTCCAGAACAGCATTACTACTACTACTACTACTACTACTACTACTACTACCACCACCACCACCACCACTACTACTACTACTACTACTACTACTACTACTACTACTACTACTACTACTACCACTACCACTACTACTACTACTAATCGTTTTTTTTTACTGAACATAGTATCTTTAATCATATAATTCAGAAGAAGTGTCGTACTAAATGAGGTCACGATAATCATGTCAGTGGCGAAAACGGCACTACCTTCAATGCATTTCATATATGAGAAAATTTCCACTGAATAAAAAGCATGGTATACAAATACGTGCTAAATGATGCATTACGTAAACCTCTGAAGCAAACGCAAAAGAGAGAGAGAAACCTTTAACCTTTAACATGCAAAGATTTTTTTATATTGAAAATACCCAGTTAAATAAATCAATAATCTGTCAATTAACCTTTAATTTAAATGTTTAAAATATTGTGATTTTGAATAGATTATATTAAAAATATTTTTTATTACAAGGTATGGTATGTATGTCTAATAAAAAAATTACAAAATGCCTATTATAAATATTATTATTATTGCTAATACAAAATATTTGTCTATTGTTAATAAATTCTATTTTTATTTACTTTTTTTTTATTTATTATAATATTGTAATATTTTTAATACAGTACAAACAAAAGTCCAAAATTCATTCTCACCAAAAGTTTTCATTTAAATAATTATCTTACATTTAATAGAGTAGGAATGAGTTTTTTCTCAATAATATAGTACCACAATTTATAAAGGGTGCTTGAATTCAACCACTGTCAGTACAGTATCTAGGTTGTTGTTGTTATCACAATTTAAGAAGAAAAATATAGAGTTTGGTTTAATTTTATTAGTCTTACTTACCTATTTGTATTCGTGCATTGGGTCAAAAGTTATACACAATTTAAAATTTTCAGTTTTTTAAATAAAAAGTAATTAACATTCAACATTTTTATTTTAATAATAATGTTTTATGATAGTTATCTGCTAAATCAATGCTAATTTCGAACCATCATTGGATGAACAAAAAAATGTAAACCCATTTACAAACAATCAAAAGACAGGTTGTTATAAAAGCGAAAGTCCAGAAAAGACAAAACAAAAAAATGACAGAGATAATGAGTGCAACTTATTAACTGCTAGTATGAAATTGCTTCCAGTTTTGTTGAATTTAAATGATAATGATTATCATTTAAATCGTAATGTTACTTTAAACGATGCAGAGAAATTAAACCTGCTAATAAACCATAAGTTACCTAACTTAAACTTTATATTTCCATATTGTGAGAAGAAGTTTTAAAGAGTGTTTTTGTAAATAAATCATACTACTAGCAAAAATTATGCTCTCAAATATTCTTTTGTTATGGCAGGAGTAGTTTGTGTTCCCTGTGCTCTGTTTGCTCCCATGGAAATAGTTAATGATCGTGGAAAAACAACCGTATTAAATTCTTTTGTCTTGAAACCTTTTACAAAATATAAAACAATTCATGATAGTATAAGAAAACACTTGTCAAATGAATATTAAGAACGCTTAAAATTCAAAGGCAAATGAAAGTATAATTTACAAGCTAGATATAAAACAAAAGAACAAGCTGGTGAAAACAGGAAATGGTTGATATCAATAGTTAAGATGATTATTTTTGCAGGAAAAACGGTTTACCTTTAATAGGGCCCCTTGAATATGAAAGAGCTCTTTCTGGAAAAGAAGTAAACTTTAGAGGATTGCTGGCAATCAGAATAGACAGTGGCGATATCAATTTGCAACATCATCTAAACAACGCTAAAAGAAACGCAACTTATCTTTTTAAAAAAATACAAAACACACTGATAACTCTTTGTGGGGAAGAAATTATAAAACACATTGTTTCTGAAATTCACCAAATTAAATATTACTCAATCGTTGCCGATTAAACGTCTATATTCTTTGCATAAAGAACAGCTGTGCTTTTGTATTCGTTATGTTAATCAAGCCTGTACGAAAAAAGAGTTTGTGGTTTTTTTCCATGTTTGAACATCAGCCAAATGGATCTTTATCTGAAAAAATATTATCAATGCTTCGAAAAATAAATTTGGATAAAGGTCACTTACACTCTTCCAAGTTCAGAGGATTCAACAAAGCGCACAAACATCGAATATGAATACATGCTAAACGACGCGTCACACACGAAGCATGTTATAGGCGGCAATCTTTTTGTCATATTCTAATCTGGTTACTACGAAACAGCACCAGGCGACCTTAACCATTAGACCATCACGCCGCTCTATGGATGTTAACTATTGTATTGGACAGGGAAATAATGGAGCAAATAGTGTATCTGGACACATTTGCTTGAACATCTTTCAGCCAAATCTTTATCTGAAAAAATACTACCAGTGCTTCGAAAAATAAATTTGGATGTTAAATATTGTATTGGATGGGAAATAATGGAGCATGTAGTATATCTGGACACATTTTGGGTTTTCAACAACTAATTCGAAATGAATTTCCTTCAGCAGTTTACGTACGTTATGCTAATCATTGTTCAAACTTAGTAGGGTAGAGTAGGGATGCACGCCCAGTTTTCAAAAAATTGGCTCTAGATAAAAAGCATTCATTACAATTTCACGTATTTTGCTTTACAATTTACATCAATCTGTCGGTGATCTAAATAAAATGTCTGCAGCTTATTATGATCAATTTCTGAGCTGCAGTGACGGATAAAACAAACTTCCTAACATGAACTCTTTACCCCATAGGTGAGGTAAGAGGCCCAAGTACAGAAGCAAAACGCCTTTAATAATGAATAATGGTATAAAAATTCAACAATGATGCCAAATAATTTCAAGAATATTTTTATGTTTTATTGGCAGAAAGTAACATTATTCACTTAAAATGTGTCCTTTAAAATGAAAAAAACAGGAGGTAAAATTAGTTTCATCATAATCAACATCATTATCGTCAATATCATCATCATCAACACGATACTAGTTTCCGGAATAACAACAACAATCAATTACAGTTTGGGCAAATAAACCAAGGGGTTCCCGCAATACATGCATCAAGAGCCCACTTTTTACATCAATGACATTGCACCCATTGTCCACGAGATTTGCTATTAGACAATTGATTCCCACATATTACACATGGTAAATCTTCTTTCTCAGTACTTGATTCAGTCAGTGCGACTATTTTCATTTTAATTATTCGAGTTCTTTCTTGAATGGTGAATAAGTTATTAATTTTGATGATTCTGGTTTACGTTTCCTAATTCTGACACCTTATATCTTTGGCAATGGAGACATTTTTTTAATCGCATCTTTAGCCACTGTCAAAATTGAATTTAACTTATTTTTATTAAAAGATCAATTTTTTAAACATTCAAAATATATTATTTTATTATTTTGACTCACCTTGTGGATCATGATTGTTGAGCTCATATGATGACTGATCCAAATTAGTTGCCTCAATCTTATTGAACCATTTAACATGTTGATAACTGTTTTGTTAGTAGAAGATAATTGGGTTTGATCGATGGTTTCTAAAATTGAAATTGTAGATAAGTGATGATTTATTTCTGCATTTGATTTTTCTTCTTCAGTGACATCAGCTGCTTTTCTAATCTTCATCACAGAAAATATCATTATCAAATGGCCATAGTCCACAAGTCTTGAATCCATGAACTGCTTTGTCAGTAGTTGATGTGCGAAAAAATGCTTTTCCAAATAAATTGGCTATATCATAAAATCTGATTCTTTTACCAGTGTTCGACACTAACCAGTTATCACAAGCAACATTGTAAGCACCTTTTAGTGATTTAAAATATGTCTTGTCAAGTGGTTGCAGTTTATGAGTATAATGGGGTGGAAATGTTAACATGTGTATGCTTTTGCCACGTGCTAAATTTATAGCACTAATAGATTTATGGCTGTTGTGTCCATCTAATAAAATAATAATAAGATTTTTTTGGAAGCGTGTGTGCATTTTGAAAAACGTTCCAACCATTTAGTAAATAGTGCTGAATCAGTCCACTCATTTGGACTAGTGTGTTCAACAGATTCTGAGGGTGCTCCTCTAAGTAAAGCATCAGTCATTCTTTTGCGAGGATATATGAACATGAGTGGCAGAAAATTACCCGCCGCATTGAATGCACATATGACTGTCACTGTTGAATCTCTTTCTCCACTAATGATTTTGCATACAGCTCTTTTACCTTTCTTTAGCAGCAATTTTACTTTGGATATGCACACTTGTTACACCTGTTTCATCTATATTTCATGTGTGTAAAGGAGTACAAGGAATGTCAATGAGCAGTTGTTTATAAACTTCAAAAAACTGCATCACCTTTGGTTTTTTAACGCTATTGCACGTGACAAATTGGTTCCTTTTGGTTTTCTTATTGATAGATCAGGATATCGTGTGAGAAAACCTGAAAACCAATCTTTTCCAGCAGATTTGTTGTCTTTGTTGAATTGGTGATCAATATTCATGGTTTTTCAGCTAGCTCAAAAGCTAGACGACGTACATCATAAGGAGTGAGTCTATAAAGACTTCTTTCCATATATTGTGTATGGTTATAAAATTCAAGTTCATTTGATTCGGAAAAAACTGGAATGTGACGTCCCAATTTTAGAGTTCCAGCATTAAGTGTTTTTTATCTTTGTGCCGACGTAATGTTCGCGCTGGAATACCAAGCTCTTGGATTACACGAATCATAGATTTTCCATTTGCAATAGCTTGCAAACCGGTTGCAAGCAACTCGTCTCCATATTTTCCTAGTTCGGACGTTCGTCTATATTTGCGAACCGTGATACCAGATTAGCTTGATATTTGAGAAGCTTGAACATTTGAAGTTTAATTGTATACAAAAATTATTTTTATTAAAAACAAAACAACTATAGTCCAGCGTCATTATATAATAAATTTTCTATAGTTATATAAATTTATTTAAAAACCGTTTTGCCTCATACAGTAATGGATGTTTTGCCTCAAATGATCCACTAAAATATTTTTTGGCTGATATAAGATATTTAATAATGCCTTCCATTTAATTTTAATTTATTATGAAAATTTAACTATTTATTTTTAATATAATCAAACCAATTAAAACAAAACATAATTTTTATTATTCGCTATAATTTATTACCCTATTTATAGTCAATTTACAGTAAAAACCGAGAAAATCCATTAAAACTCACCTCGACTCTGCAAAAACAATAAAATATCAAAATTAACAAAGTTCGGTATGTTGTCTATCAATCTGAAAAAATAATCTAGTGCTAAATTATGTCAATATTATTTTAAAAGGGGTAGGCGTTTTGCCTCAAATGGGCGTTTTACCCTGCGCTATCCTACTTAATCGAGCGTCCTCTGTTTTTCCTCTATTTTCCTCAGTTTCCTCTATTCAAAATATGTTTAAAGTTTCTGAAATAATAAATTTCGTTGATGAATCACCAAAGCGTCAATTGTCATTTTGATGAAACATTTTTGACATATTATAAAACGAGATTTGTACAGCGTCACGAGGCGCTGATAAAATTTGGTGATAATTTTGATTGTATTATTAATAGTTAAAGGCAATTTTTTTCAAAATGCGCCTTATCTTGCTAGTGTTTGAACAATTTTCGATCATCAATTTGAACATTTGAACACGAAGAGGGCGCGTTTTCAAGTTATCAGGTTCGCACAACTAAATGAAGCTGATCGATAATTCGGGTTCTTTCTTGACTTGAAAAATTTATTATATTTGAAAGATTTGAAAAATTTATTATATAATAAAGAAAATGATAATTTGAAAATAAAATGTTTACATTTAGCGGAGTTCTTCAATTTAGATATTGATGGTATTGAATTATATCTCGAAATATCTGATTGCAGAATGCTACGATTTACACGTGAAACAAAAATTTTAACATCAGACGATCTTAAATTTATAATTGAATACGGAGACCCATAGATATCTCGACGAGACATTTATGACGGAGACCAAAGGGTTTTTCCTAATTTACAAGCTGCTCTTCAAATTTTACTTACTATAAGTGTATCCATTGCAACTTGTCAGCGATCATTCAGTAAATTAAAATTAATATTTACCATATTTACTATAAGTGTATCCATTGCTATTTGTGAGCGATCATTCAAGTAAGTTAAAATTAATACTATTGTTGTAACTTCCTCGAAGACACTTATGACTTATAACGTCTGACACCGGTGTTGTAACCTCCTCGACCTCGTAACTACCAACCCCGATGAATAATAATCTCTATATCTCAAACACCAAACTTCCAACGATAGTCAAGAGTTCGTTTATCTGTAGGTTCAAGATTTCGGATAGATGAACACAACTACTTCAAATGCAAACTAAGTTGAATGTTTATTTGAATACCAGCAGTAATAGAAACGATAAATTAATCCAAATAACTACATAAATCACATTTACGACTTCGCATCGAATCTCACTTCTACTTCAACTGTTACCACTCAACTGTTCCGTCTTTTTCTTCCCTGTTGTCGTCCTTCTTTGCTTCTTCGTTGTTTATATAGCTACCCATGTGCTTGTAAATGTGTCTAAGAAGAGTGTCACGTCCATAAATGAATTTACAACCATCTAATTAATTTACAAGTTTAACAATTCCTAACTATTAGTCTCCATCTCGACCTCACGGCTGTAACACTATATTACTTAAGAGCTACAATTAGTCAACAACAGCATAACTGGGTATTGAAGAAAATTAAATAAATAGTTTAAATTTTGAAAAGATAATCAACGAGTTTTGCTTCAGCAAAAGCCAGAAAAGTTGACATTTAATGAAATTTATTACCATTTTTTAATATATCACTTTTTAAATAAATAGAATTAAAATATTTGTGCAAGTTGCTTCTTTTATTGTTTGCAAACATGATTTTTGTTACCAATTTTTGACAATTTACTTTTTTTATATGATCAGATTTAATGTATTTGTATAATTTACTTTTTTTATTGCTAGCATGTTTGTCACTATTTGAAAAAAATGAACATATAACTTAGTTTTGGATTGATTAAATTAGAAATTGAATTTTTTGGTCAACGGGCGCAAATAAGAAGTTAGCCCAGGTTGAATTTTATAGTCGCCAAGCCACTGCTATAACGCTGCCTTAAACAACTTGCTCTGATTCGGCGCAATGAAAACACTCAAATGTAGAAGGGTGGCTAAACGGTTTAGCACTAATGTACTGTACATTTATAGAGATTTCAACATTGTACCTGAAACTATCATTGGCAACTATGAAAAACCGTAAAATTAATCTGATGTAAATTAATAAATATTTGTTTCAACAATAATAAAAATTAGAGTTTATTTTATAATTGTGTTTCTGTTTATACTTATGATCTGGTTTTTGTTGTTATTTTTTGTACATATAAAAATTCGTTTTTTTTAAATTAATTTTTTTAGTCTTTATTATTGCAGCTCTGACATACGCAGAACCACTTACAATGTTACATACATGTTATCTATATATCTTATATATCTTTATTATGTTTTTCTTATTTTCATTCATTGATTTGAAGCAGACATCTTCGCCACAAAAGCTATTTATTCTTTTCACACGACGTACACATGTATTTTATGTGCACGCACAAGCACCGCATCATATACGCTGAGCCATTGAGATGATTAACTCAGCGCTCATTGAACCACTGAGCCATCTCGCCGGCCAACATGCTACAACTTAGGTCGTCTCCCGATTTACCGACCTCGGATATCTAATTTGCTTGCTGCTAATGTGTTGTATCAATATAAATATTCCGGCTCCATCAAATTTAGGATTTTTTACGATTAATGTCAATTATTCCCCCACCACCCAAAATTTCTAAATCCGCCACTGAATAATACAGTAATTATTCTTAACTACTGGTTAGTAATTACTAAATAGTGATTTACTACTTGTAGTTAGTAACTACTCCGCGGAAAAACACAAGGCGCCTGTTACTATTAGGCCTTTACGCCGCCTGTACTAAGTAAGACCAAAAAGTTTATGAAATGGAAAAAATAATGATTCGTTGTTTAGAAATTGATAAAATCAATTATAAAATAAAATTACTTTGAAAAAATTTTGAATGAGAGATTTCAAAAGTAGTTAACTGTCGTAGCAACTATTGAAAAAATAAATAACTATTAGTGATTAACTACTTTTAAATAATATGGTTATTAATCTTAACTACTAAAAATTAGTTTTCGAATAGTTGTTTAATATTTGTAGTTAGTAACAATACACATCCCGGGAAAAACATTGTCGTTATTGTGTTTTGCCTGCCTACTTAGGCTACGCCATTGCACTCAAGTCATATTTTGTTATAAGTGTTTCTTAAATTAATATCATTTATTTTATTTTAGCCAGTTTAATTTTTCAGATTGCCAGGTAAAAATAATTGGAATACCGGTTTATCAGCGATCAACGTCAAATGTTTATGGATCATGGCATATGGATCATTGCCATTCTACTCAATGGACTAACTATATTTGGCATACAAGAGGAATAAAAGATAAATACGTTTATTTGTATGAGTCTTTGCAGAAGTTCAAACTGTCTGATCACATTAAAAAGATCGATATTCCGAATTATTTTTATGGTACTGGCAATATGATATATAATGGGTCGTTTATATACCACGTTGAGAACACGAACACAGTTCAAAAATTTGATTTGTTTACCAACCAAATCATTGCAAAAATTAATATCACCGATACTTTTGACGATGGTAATTTTTTGTACCCGAGTAAAAGTGCTTACTTTGATATGAAAGTCGATGACAATGGTCTGTGGATATTGTTTAAAAAATTTCGCTCGTTCAAAATTTTAAAAGTAAACATTGACAACCTTAAAGTTCAAAAAATGTGGTCACTTCCAGAGAATTCAACTGATATTCAAAATAGTTTTATAGTATGTGGTAATCTTTATTTCATTAACAATGTTACAGTTGAACGTACAAAAATAATTACTTATTACGATTTATATTTAGAAAAATTTGGAACCACCAACTTGCAATTTAATAATCCTTATGGCAAAACTGTCATGATATCCTACAATCCCTCAAAAAATAATATATTCAGCTGGGACAATGGCTATCCGCTTCTGCACCCAGTTTTAATTTAAATTATTATTTTTTAATACTTCACCATAAATCACAACTTTTTCGAAGATATAACTCTCCATTAAACAGTTTTCAAAACATTAAAATCTTTGTCATAGATGAAATATAAACCTCTGTGCTAAATATTAAATGTTTTTTTTAAATTATTGAATCAGTTTTTTGAACGCAAAAATATTAGTAAAATTTTAGAAAATTGTCGTTTCTGAAAATTTACAAAATTGAGTTATACAAGACATGAAAAAACAAATTGTTTGATTTAAAAGCAATCTAGACATAAATTAAAATATATAAAAAAAATAGCAAAAAGTTATTATAAAAACAATTTATACACACAAAGACAATTAGAATGATCAACGGACATAAATATTTTCGACAAAATAACATCGGTACTCACGAAATAAAATTTATCGTTAATTTTAAAAGGATTTATTAGTTTTATACTGTTAGCTGACCAAGTGTACTTCATAACGCCTTGAGAATAATAAATGTTGCGTTAAAATCGGTTTTATTAACTTGGATAAAAAAAATAGAAATAAAACAAGCAAAAGATCAAATTGATGCAACAATCGAACAACAGTCGGCCAAAATTAATGCAAAAATAATACAACAGTTGAGATAATTCAGAGAACAATTCGATAACAAAACTGAACAGAAATCGCCCGTAGTCAATGCAAAGATGGACATCACGTCAAAATTTGAACAAAGAGTTGATCAAAAGGTTATCGAAATCGACCAGAAGTTATAGATAACTTAAACAGGAACTGTAAGAAAATAAAAAATAAAGTCCACACCTGTAAGCCACGTAACCGCGAAGATATTGAAAGCGCCAGCATTTGACGGAGAAACATCTTGGAACATCTAGAGAGTCAAGTTGGAAACAACAGCATTGAATTATGGCTGGAATGAAAGAAACTTGCCAACAGTTTTTGGGGTAGCGTTACGAGAGTCAACAGCAGAAGTTTTCCATACGATTCTATTCAGGAACCATTGTAACTATGAGGTCCTGAGAAATGCTTTGAATTAACGTTATGGTAAAGAACATATAAAGCAAATACAATCGGTCTCAGTTGCAAAACTGGACGCAGTGACCTGGAGAGTAAATACAGCAGCTGGCACAGGATTTTAAACGGTTGACTGCTGTCATACTCTACGTACAACCGACAACATAGAAAAGAGACTGCATTGGAAGCGTTTTAAAGGCTGTCATACTAGCCAACAAATGCAACATCAAAATGCCGTTGTTTACAGCCCTGCATTCGAGTCAGCAAAGCCATCATCAAAGACTGACGTAAAGCTGCAAAAAATTTGTGAAGAATGTTCGTGTCCAAAGATGGTTCTAAAACAGAAAGGTCAAGATTATAGTGCGCCAAAATGCTGGAATTGCGAAAACAGACATTCACGACGAGATTGCAAGCAACACCCTAGAAACAATTACAGTCGTCATCGTGCAGCAACATGGCATAAACGATTAGAGGATGACATTGCGTCAAACAATGAGGCAGGTAACTAATAAAAACCAATTGCGCGGAGGGCAGAAATTTGCTAGTAGAATTGACGCTCCCAGTACTGTGATTAAAGCCTCTAGTCTACATCTAAGTTATTACGACCTTTGGTTGGATGGCAAGGTCTGTTCACATAAATGTTTAATCAAAGTCAACACCAAAGCAACGAAGTCAATGTTAAAAACTTTCATAAAGACATTTTTCGAACAGCTGCAGGAGGAACCGCGCCCGTCCACGGACAAATTTCTGATACTGTTCTAATAGGCGAGGGTACATTCGCAATAGCAGATATTACTGACGAATGCATAGTAAACGGTGATTTCCTAACAAAACATTGGGTTTAAAATTGATTGAAAGATGCGCGTCTTTAGATGGAGAAATACAAAGATGGTAGTGGGGAAAAGCGATGTAAAATGTATTCGTATAACGATTGATAGTGATACTGAAGTGTCAGAGAACATCGTTTGGACATAATTAAATGACGATAATAGAAACCAATAATTCTGCCTGGTGAGCCAACGACGAAAAAGTCTCTTAAAAACAAGTAAAAGTGGCCTTATTCCAGTTTGGGTGTTGAATGTAGCGAAGTATTCCATTACAATTAAAAATGACCAAAAAATAGACTTTTGTCAATTTGTAAATATTGTGAAGTCTTAGGATACTCAACATCAGAATAATGACAGGCTGGTATTAACTTAAGAATAACCTTAAAAAGCTTACAAAAGTTTTATTAGGTGAACTTAATTTGCAACAGAGAAATCGTTCAAAAGCCGAAAATTTACAGCGGACTTCGTAGATGTATTTTCAACCTGAGACGATTATCAAGGGAAAACAGGTTTCGTTATTTATCGATTTGATACTCAGGACTCGAAACCAATCAAACATGTATCACGCCGTCTTCAACTAGCAAAACACGAAAAGATAAAAAGGTAAACGAGATGATAACTACAATGCTAAATCAATGTATCATCGAATCGTCAACTAGTCCTTAGACCTTGCTAGTTGTCCTAGTAAAAAAAATACGGCAGCACCCGCCTTTGGAAGAACTACAGAAAGCTAAACGAAGTGACAAAAAAAGATAGCGTTCACTACCGAGAATAGACGACATCATGGACACGTTGTCTGGTACACGCTAAATTCTGTCATATCTTGTCACATGTCATATCTTCCGATCCGATGGAGTGAAAACAGATCGGAGTAAAGTAGAAATGGTAAAAAATTGGCCAACTCCTAAAGATAAAAATGATTTGCGATGTTTCCTCGGATTAGTTACATACTATCGACCTTTTGTAAGGAATTTTGCAAAAGTTGCACGACCACTACATCAAATCACGGAAAATGGTCAAACGTTTAATTGGAATGAGTGGTGTGAAGCAGGTTTTGAAATACTATAAAGAGAATGTGGAGCCCCCAAGATAGTATATCCAATCCGAGGTAAATCATTTGTGCTAGATACGAATGCACGCAACTCTGGATTTGAAGACGTTTTGCCACAAATTGTTGACGGAGAAGAAAAGGTTTTGGCCTATTACAGCAAAGGTCTTACAAAGCCTGAACGTAACTACTGCGTAACCAGAAAAAAGTTGCTAGCGATGGTCATGGCTAAAAATCATTTCCACAAGTACCTCTACGAACAGAAATTTCTTCTTCGAATGGATCATGCAGCGTTAAAGAGGTTGCTCAATTTCAAAGATTCAGAAAGACAGGTGGCACGATTGTTGGAACGATTACAAATGTACGAGATATTGAATGGTGGTTATTGAATATTTGATTTTAGAAAGCAAATAAATGTTAATGTCGAAAGCGATCTTTGACTCTGCGTTGTGTTTTGTTGTATTTGCGATAAACGTAATGAATTGTTTGTTATTCGGAAGGCAATAGTTTCTGAACGTTAATTTGATAGTTTGTAAACATTAATTTTCATTAGTAAAATTAATTAACGTTGATTATTGATTAATTAATTAATTAATTATTGTTTTGTAAATAAAAAAAATTGATAATTTATAAGTTATATATATATATATATATATATATATAGAGAGAGAGAGAGAGAGAGAGAAAGAGAGTATATCGTCAAATCAATCTAGAATGAGCGAAAAGTCCTATCCTTGACGAACATTTTCGTGCACATATTCCACAGGTCCATACACTTGTACCATCGCCGCGTCGGGCCGTCTATTTTCGTCGAATCTTTTTCTCAGCGAAAGGAGTTGTACGTGCCAGTTTAAAAGCGGAGACCTTCTCCATTCTTAGCGCCGCAGAGCATCAACACAGAGATTCTTGGGGTCTAGACCACTTTTTTTCATATTTTCTTTTTTCCTTTAAGGCTGTCTTTGTATCAACGTACAGGACCACTTGCCAGTCTATTTCCCCACGCCAGTTGACCAAAAAAGACTTGCTTGGGAATTCTTGTATCTGGCATACGTATAACATGCCCTATCCAGCAAAACTGAGTTTAAAGCAGAAACGATTCTTTACCCATTATACCGCACTTTGCCAGAACCATTGGTTTGGGACCTTGTCTTTCCACCTGATACCTGCAATCATACGCAGAAACCTCATATGAAACTGGTCAAGCCTATAAATGTAACGACGGTAGAACGTCTAGGTTTTGCAACCATAAATCAGTGAAGGGAGCACAACTGCTCTGTATGCCGCAATTTTGTTGGCCAGGGTAACTTCGTGCTCTTTCCAAAGACGTCCGGTCAGCATACCAAAAGCAGCACCTTGCTGTACTATCCTCAACGATAACTTTACTGTTGGAGATATATTCGCCTAGGCAACAAAATCTATCAACGGAATTGAGACGCGAGTCGTCCGCCATCATATTGGCCTTTGCCTCCAACAAAACTGGGTAGCTCTGATGCAAGACCTCAGTTTTCTTCAGATTGACTGTAAGTCTAAATTTCTTAGCTGCTATATGGAAGCGGTTGAACAGCGTCTGAATCCCGGCCTGTGTGTGTACAACCAGTGCACAATCATCAGCAAATAACAGGTCCCGAACAGTAGAAATTTGTGTTTTAAACTTTGCTTGCAATCGTCTGATATTAAAAACATCCCGACCCATACGATAGCAGATTGGTATCATGCACGTATGATTGCAGGTATCAGGTGAGAAGACAAGATCCCAAACCAATGGTTCTACCGTGACAAAAAGCAACTCGGAGCATCAATGAAAAGTATATGTTAAACACCAATGGAGCCATAACACATGCTTGCTTGGTTCCGTTTGCAACATCAAAATCCTGAGACCGTTCACCATTTTCCATCACACTCGCTTTCATACCTTCATGGAAGGAACGAACAATGGCAACAAATACAGAAAGACAACCAATTTTTGACAGGCAGCGCCAGAGTGCTGACCTATCAACCAAATCAAATGCCTTGGACAGGTCAACAAAAACCATGTACTTGTACAGTCCCCGTTGCTGCTCATAACATTTTTTTTGTAGTTGTCTTGCAGTGAGTACCATATCGGCTGTGCTGCGTCCGGTTCTGCCAACAATCTAAATCGTTGACATGTTTTGTCAGGCGTTCAGCAATCACTCTGGCTAATATTTTCCCAGGTATGGAGAGCAGAGAGATTCCTCTGTAGTCGTCACAGTTTGATCAATCACCTTTTCTTTTAAATATATAAGCGATCAGAGCATTTTGAATTCATGAGGAACCGACCGCTCTGCCCACATGCGTTTAAAAGCTCCACCAATTTTTTTCTGAGATGCAGACCACCGTGTTTGAACAGCTCTGCAGACAACTCATCCAAACCTGGCGCCTTTCCAGATGACAACCGAGATATTGCTTTATCCACCTCCTGCAAACTAGGGGGAATTTCAAGATCATAATTGGGCTCCCAATTTGGCAGCTCAGACAAGACCGCGTCATCAAAAAAGGTTTTTTGATTTAGCACCCCGCAGAAATGCTCTGCCCAGCGGGCCAAGATGTCAGGGCCATCCTTTATCAACGACGTACCATCCCGTGAACGCACTAGTATACTTCCCGTGTCACGTAGACTATATACCATCTTAAGACCTTTATAAAATAGCTTTAAATTACCACGGTTAGCGGCTACCTGTAATTCATAGTTCTCGCCGCCCACCAAGACTCTTTCATTTTGCGCAGCTTCTTCTGCAAGTTACTTTGTGCATTTGAGTAGGTTACCTTTTTTGCATCATTGGTTTTGTCATTTATCCAAGCAAGATGTGTTTTGTGCACAACATCCAGCAATTTACGAGTTTCCGTATCTCGTTCATCGAACCAGTCCCTACGCCCACCCCGGCGGGGACCGAGCACATTTCTTGCAACCTTTTGTATAACCGTTTGAAAATGTGGCCAATCAAAGTCAGTATTCTCAGCCATTTAGGTGCATAATGCGCAGCTGAAAGACACCTGAGACGACCTGTTCTCCAGTTTAGTCACATCCAACTTGTCGGATTTTACCACCCTTTGATGCCTCTTGACTGGCTTGATCGTCAAGATCGTCATTTTGACAAGATGATGATCAGACCAGACAGTTGTCGCTCGAATCGCTCTGGTGAGGCGAACGTTGCGTAGGTTTCTTTGTCTTGTGATGACATAATCGATCAGGTGCCAGTGTCCCGATCGTGGGTGCATCCATGTAGTCTTCAGCTTGTTTGACTGTTGGAAGACCGTGTTTGTCGCTGCCAGTTTTTGCACTGCGCAGAACACAAGAAGCCTGATTCCATTTAAGTTTTGTTTACCAACCCCATTTCGCCAAAGCACCCCGCGCCATATGTCATGATCTACACATACTCGTGTGTTGAAGTCACCTAGCACAAACAATTGGTGTTCAGATGGCGTCGCGTTTACAGCTGTGTTAAGCTGTTTATAAAACTGATCTTTTTTTTCCTTCGATGCTTCCAGTGTGGGCGCATAACAGCTGAACAAAGTAGCATTGTGTTCTCTCTCGAGACTCAGTTGCATCTTCATTAAACGGGGTGATATGCTATGAGGAGTCTCACACACAGACTTGTTAAGCTTGCTACGTATTGCAAATCCTACTCCACACGTTTGCACTTGCCCTGACAGAAAAAGACGTATCCGGCACCTTTTTCCTCAAATTGTAAAGCATCGGCTAATATTGTTTCACTCAGTGCCGCGATATCTATTTCAAAACGAGCAAGCTCACGCGCCACAATGGCGGGCCTGGGTTCAAGTCGATCACTGTTTTTCAACAATGCGCAAACGTTCCATGCCGCAAGGTTCAGTTTTTTCCTTTTGGATTTATGGATATTTTTGCCGCAGAGAGTGGATATCTAGTCAGCTGCGGTCAGCCAACAAGACAGTTTTGTTGGGCTAGGTTTTTAGGACACGTTTTCCGGTCCCTTCTTCAGTCTCCAGTTGAAAAAAGCAGCGCCTCCCTAAATAGGGCAGCTTTGTCGCCAAGGCAGGACCGAACGTTACTGCAGCCCTTAGTAAAGAGCGACCATTACACTAAGGCTGCCTACGTGCTGGATAGTGGCTAGACACTTCCAGTAGTATCCTCTACCTGTGCCCGTCGTCATTCTCCAGTCGCCGCAGGGCTTTTACGCTCACAGCATCCACCGAATACAACCCGCACAATTGAATTAATTTAAGGTGGAAAGAGTTTTGTGAGAACTAGCCACACTCTCTTTTTCTACAAAGGCCAGTGTCAGCAGGCACAATGAACTGCGACGTGGTGACTGCCCAGTATGAACGCAGCAGTTTAGTCGTAACTGACATCGAGTTGATGAGCAGAAGCATCTTCATAGTCAACTGCAAGTGCTAGCAATTTTCTGTTTGGGTTTACTCCCATAGCCTTTCCATGAATGGGTTTAGCCGCTAGGCAGCGGAGGTTTGAAGTCAGTGTTTTCCTTCTCTTAAGTGGATGGCCAGCCATGGTTAACGAGCTCCACCTGCCCGAAACAACTGGTTATGGTGCCAGTTACTCGCATTCGCCCTCTCCTGTTAGTTTAAACAGCTTCGCCACGTGTAGGCCAGGAGTAGGACTTGATTGACCGAGGCGAGATACCTTCTTCTTCCTTCAGTTGTGAGCGGCGAGGCTTTTAAAGATTCGTTTGATTTTGATTGTCTTGCTTGATTTAATTTAATTTAATAAAATTAAATTTGTTACTCTATCACTCAAATTTGAGAAAATGAGATGGACTTGTGAATGTTGAAAAAGCGGTTGAAGTGATGGAAAGATTTAAAAAAAATAACACTAAAGAAAAAGTTAAAAATTTTAGCAAAAAATGTCTTCTGGAAAACGCCAAAATTGTTGATCTTAATCCAGATATGCAATACAGTCAGAGGTTGTTTTTTATTTTTTAAATATCTTCAAGCCTTAATTTCAATTATTATGAATACTTTATATTTTAAATTTTTATATATTTTTATATAATGTTAATTTTTGTATATTCGACAATGGTTACTGCATTAAGTGGGTCTATAAGCACTATGAAAATGTAATGCCGTGTCGAGGAATGTTCGATTTTGTTGTCGGATTATAAATCGGACAAATTAAAACGGATAATGTTATTTTATTAACCAAACAAACGTAACGATCTCGTACTAACGTAAAAAGTGGAGAGGAAAAGTAAAGCAAAGAAGTAGTAGTAATAATAAATTAAATTAAAACATAGATATTAATATTAATAATAAAACTAATTAAAAATGTTAAATGTTTAAAATAACTGTATATATCTAATCCTCTACAATATTCCCCCGCAAGAGGCGGAGCCATTCAAATGGAAAAATGTTTGTTTTTTGAGTTGAATTTGATTTTTCCACTCTTCTTTGAAGATGTGGTTGTTGGTACCGATTATCGCTGGCGTTGAACTTGTTTCTCGTAATGATGTTGCTTTTGCCGCTGATAATGTGGTTGATGGTTCTGCTGTGGCTGACGTTTATCTTGTTTCATGAAATGTTGATGATGTTGTTGGCGATTACGTTGTTACTGAAAACGCAGTTGCCGTTTTGGTTGCTAGTTCAAATTTGTTCTGGCCTCTCATGCAACCTTTTGTCCAGCTGCAAACGATTTCTAGAATGAGATGTGTGTGAGGACAATGAACTATGCTCTGCTTTTCTCTTTCTGTGATGATTTTGCTGCTGCTGCTGTTGAACAGGAGAAGGAAGAGAGAGAACTGGAAGAAGAGAATCGTTCATGTGTGGATTTGCTGATGGGATGGTAACATTCTGCTCGGCAATTTGCTTTTATTTAATTGGACTCTTCTGGTGGCTGCCTCTCTTCAATTTTGTTTACATTCATCAGATTCAAATTTATTTTAAAAGGTTCTTTTTCTTGGAATTGTTCTTGTTTGGTTTGTTTGAATGTAGAGCGTCGTAATCTGTTCCTCTTTGCACTTTTAATGACAAATTTGAGACTATAACCAACGGCAGGGAAATTATTACGTGATAGAATCTTGTTGTTTTACATACCACGTTTCGCAATTGAAATTGCATTTCGAAATTCTCGAACCAATCTGTTGAAGCTGTTTTCTTGAAAAGAGGTAATATGGCGATCGGGTCATCATTTGTTTGGAACATTTTGTTTTCGTTTTTATCTAACCACGTGGATCTTTCTATTTTTTTTACGTCGGATTTTCTTCGTTCGAATCACGTCGGATTTTCGTTGTTAAAATCTCATCGGGGTTAACCAATTTGTTGAGGAATGTTCGATTTAATATTATTTCGCTTTTGTATAAATCGGACAAATTAAAACGAATAATCTTATTTTGTTAACCAAACAAACGTAACAATCTCGTACTAACGTAAAAAGGGGAAAGGAAAAGTAAAGCAAAGAAGTAGTAGTAATAATAAATTAAACATGGATATATATAATGGATATGGCAAATCTCATATGTATATATATATATTCATACATCAGTTAAAATAAATTTTTGCTAAAAATCTTGATCCATAAAACCAAAAACATCTATGAAAAATTAATTTTAAAAAACATTTAGCTTTTTATCTATGTTTAGAATATTGTCTTGTTTTCGATTATCGTCATAGCTTCCGTAGTTGAGTTATTACCAAATAATAATTTCGCTTTAAAAAACTAGCAACATAAGTTGGTAAGTTTGATTGCTAATGTTGCTGGTGTGTTTCAGTTGCGTTGGGCTTTTTTGATACTAATTTCCAAAATTACAAGTTGCATTGTTATCCCTCACTCTGCTCTGCAATGGATATTCTGATAATGAAAATGTTAGAGTGACGGGTTTTATGAAAACATAATGACCAAATAAAAAATGCAATTTTACCAATAGATAGCAAAAGAATGTTTAATATATATATGAAACAAATATAATGACTAAGTAAATCAAACAATTCAAAATTTACAAATGGTTGATAAATCTTTTCATTGGTAAATGATTTTATTGTCCCTTGAAATGTATTAACTTATGAAATTTAGAACGGATCTTTATTTGGTTTGTGGTTTTAGCGAAATGAAATGAACGTACATTTATATATGTTTTCGCAATAAGTCTTAGTAAACAAAAATAATGATTATTTAATCCATTAAATGTGTCTGTTATATGTTCTTTGAGATTTAATAAATCTTCATTGGCCAACCTTTTAAAAACATTTTCATAAAGTAATTTTTAAATGTTAATTCAGCTTTTTGAAATAGAAGCACCAATGAATGCAAGCCATATGAAAATTTCTTTAGATAACTATTTGTATTTGAGAGTTGCAGAAAGTTTAATAAATCTTATTTGATACGTATATTATGTTATAAACAGTCAAACATACAAACCAATTTAACAGCAGATGTTGATGGATTTTCAACTGGCCGCAATGATGTTGAGAGTAACTGAGAGTAACTGAAATGTTAAATTATTAAAGTTTTATTAACACTGGACGTTTTTGAATTTATGTTATTATTTGCAAGGCATCTAATTAATATCTTTAAGGTGTTAACTCCGGTCAGAACGACAAGACAAATGTTTAATTATGTTTCTATGTTATGCATAAAACATAAACATGCTTCTTATGTTTTAATATAAATATAAAAAAATTTAACGCAAAGCAAATTTTTAAAAATATTTAATAAAAACTGAAATTTGTAATACTTGGTGGCTTAAAATGTAACACAATCTTGATAATATAGATATAAAAATACGAACCAAATTTACACTTGACATCACATCAGTTATTAACGTTGCAGAAATGTTATCGGAAACTAACTTTACATCTGAAGAAGGCTAAAAATACAAAATCAGATAATTGGTTACAAACTTGAAAAATTAAAATAAGTTTATTTTCGGTATATAATAGATCATAACATAAATGAAGAACACTTCAGAAAAATTATCCTGACAACAATATCTTAATTTCAAAATTATAACTTTAAAAACATTTCAATTATACAACTGAAACTTGAAATGATTGGTTTTTATATACGTAACACTAACCTTGTCAAATATCGTTGGAAAAGTATTTTTTTGAAGAAAAATTTCAAACCAACTTTATGAAAACTTTCTGGTGTAAAATGTTTACTATAAATTAAAATCTTTTTTTTCATCGTAATTGTCAATCTATTTTTTAATGAGATTTTCCCATTGCATTCCCTTAATATCATTCTTTGGCAGTCTGAATTTAAATTTGTTTTAATTAATATTTATAAAACTTTGAGTTAACATTACCATTTAATGCATTTATTATGTTACTAATATTATTTATTACTATTATATTATACAATACACATGACATGACATTGAGATTAAACTATTAGAGAATCTTAATTCTTAACTTGTCAAAATAATATTAAAAACAATAATACATTTTTAATTAGAAAATATTTGCTTAGTATTTGATTTGACAGACACAGATTCTCAACTAAATCAAAATGCCTATGTGTTCCATTAGAAAATACCACTCATCTTATTTAGATGAAAATGTTACTTTACACAGGTTAATTTAAT